TTAGTGTGTGTTTTGGCTCCCAGGAGGGCACTTTAGTGCACGCTTTGGCTCCCAGGAGGGCACTTTAGTTTGCGTTTTGGCTCCCAGGAGGGCATTTTGGCTGCCAAGAGGGCACTTTAGCGCACGTTTTGGCTCCCAGGAGGGCACTTTAGCGTGCAGAATAAATCATAAATTGTTTGTCCAGTCATTACAAAACTTGCATGATATGTTTCATAGCGATGTTGAACCATGTGTGTAAAACTGTTTTAAAAATGCCAAACAAGTGCATTGGCCTGGTGCAAATTTGGCCATAAATCAATGGCAGTTTGTTCAAACATCACCAAACTCTGTGGATATTTTTGATTAAACATGCCCCCAAAATGTTCTGCAATTAACCAATAGGGGAGAAGGCATTGCCAAAGAATGGCCCAGGACAGATTTGAACGTACATGAATGAGCATCTGTCTGATCATCATAAAACCTGTTAATTATCTAAAAATGCCAGTGGGGTGAACCATTAAAGGTCACAATCCTTAGCAGCTTTCGTTTTGGTCATTTTGTGTCTCTTTATTAGTCTCCTTGTGTTCTTTTTGAGGATATTTGTGGTCTTTTTGCATCTCTTCCTGGTCTTATTGTGTCTCTTCCTGGTCAGTACGTGTTGAATTAAGTGACATTTTGCAGGTGATGGTCAGCTGGGCCGGTTCCATAATCCATTCATGACTACTGGCAAAAGACGACAAAGTCAAAAATGAGAAATCAAAAGAAAAAGAGAAATTAAAAGAGACTCAACAGATTAAAATAGTTTAGATTTATAGGGTTGTGTATCTGCGGTTATCTGCGGTTACAACTTGTTCTTTGGAAATCGACTATAAATCTAAAGAGTGAGATATCCTGCTTTCCGGTAACTTACAGACCTAAATAATTTAGAAAAGCTCATCTTTATTCATGTGTTTGATTTACAGTCACATTTTAAAATTTACAGCCCCAAATTTCCTCTTATGGCACTAAATACAAAAAAATCCACACAGCTCAAATCAAACATAAAACAGCATCAAAGTAGAAATAATTTCCTCTCACCATCACATCTAAACAGACTGTCATAATATAGACATTCAGACAGTTTAATCATGCCTAGTATTCAGACAAAGAGGAAGTTAATTAGCAGATAAAAATCTGAACTAGAGGAAAACTTTTAAAAGCTTCGTCTCATACACACAAACTGATGGACTAACTTCAGCTGTTGGCTGGAGGGTCCCTCCCAACTTAGTTAGATTAACACACACACACACACACACACACACACACACACACACACTAGCAGTGTTCCTCTGTGGTGAGCTGCAGTAATGATAAGGAGGTGTAGAGCAGCAGCTGGCCCATCAGTCTGGTCAGGTATGTGAGACAGTGCAGCAGGGACCTGACAGGAAGTTACACACTACATATGAGCTTGAGCCAGGATGTTGTTGTGGCACATTATAGCATTTATGAACTCCAGTTGATTTGATGATCGACACTAACAGAATAAATATAAAACTAATGACTGATTCTTCTAGCCTGAGCTGTAATTTGAGAGAAATGCTAACAACAGAAGACTTTAAAAAGACTAATGTCACATCTAAAGACAGTGTGAATCTTTAATTGACTTCTGTTTCACATGGGGTGTGAACAGCAGTCTCCTAGGTGAAAGTCTGTAGCCCTTCTTACAAAGAGATCACCCTATGGAGCAGCGACAAAGACCCTTCTTTATGCAGTCTTTGCATATTTACACACAACCAAACAATGGCGGCATCATGTCGCTCCAGTGTGTGAGCTTAGACAGCATGCTGGCATTGTGGAATTAAAAGAGGTATGATGGGCATAACAGCAGTGTTGGCCTCTATTGTGACATATAACATATGCGTCGGCAGCGCTTTATAAACAATAACTGTGGCATTAACATGTCAATAACAATCATTTACCATCTCCTTTATATGGCGGCTGATCTATCCTATGCTCAGACTGAGGGTAAGGAGCTCTTGGACCTTACTGTTTTCCCACTTTGTGGACATTTACAGACACTACTCTTTTTTGAGTTCCTGCGGTGGGTCACACACATAACATTTTGTCGAAAATGTCACACTCATCCTGACAATAGTCCTGTCCTGATGGCCGTCCCTTTTATATTGACATTGTTTTGGCCCTGTAACAGCTTAAAGGCGAGACAACTCTGTCCCCCTATTCTGCAAATGCACCTTTCATACAGAAATGGCGTGATATTCCTGTCTTGAACAGGCAGTGTTAAAGGGGCTCATTTTTGTTTGACCCATTCACCTCCCTTCCCACCCGACACAGACTTTCTTTATCCTACCTCATTTGCTCTCAGTGTCAAGTACTGCCATTGATGTGTTTATATTGGAGTTAGTTGAAAGCTAGAGACGCCAAAGGACGCCTTGGGTGTGATATCACACGCTGAGGGGCATGATAAAAATTGTTGGATTTTGTCAGAGCACACAGGAACATGAAACCTGATCTTTATGCAGTTCAGCCCCAACTCACAGCCTCACCAGAGAAACACTCCGTTACAGCAAGGATGTTTTTATTCAGTGATTAGTCTTATGATTCATCTGGATGACAACTCCAAACTCAGTCAGCAGCATCTCCACAAGCTCACCTGCATGGTTCAGCTGAGGTCAACTCACCTGAGGATGCATTTCATGCTGCTGCACCTGAAGTCATAGGAGAGTGTGTAAGTGTCATACAGAGTGTTGCCAGATGGTACCATTTGAACATGTTGCCATCTGTGTAAGAACTGGAGAAAGTAACAGTTCACAATAATTCGTACAATTAACCTTTAAAACATCCAGCTGACTCTGAGGGGGGCAGGGACACAGTGTTGAGGAAATACAGACTACAAATAAAGTTTTAATATTTGCTGTTGATACCTTGCGATTTTAATGGAATGACAGCTACTCTTAGGTGTTTGAAACCAATTTCTCTACAGAGACATATAATCCATCCATCAGTATCATGGATCTGATCACCACAGGAGGAGCCATTTTCTGACTACGTCACAGTCACACATGTTGGAATGTTGCTCAACTGTAATGCAAGTGTAAAAGTCCAGCAAAATAGATATAAAACTATCAGAACATTAAAATAACCACAGTACCAGATGATGTCTGCCAGCAACACGCAACAACACTAGAGCTGCAATAACTAGTTGAGTAATCGATTGGCCAATCGACAGAAAATTAATTGGCAACTATTTTGATCACCGAATAATCATTATAGATTTTTTTTTAAAGCAAAAAAAAGCCAAACATTTGCTGGAGTTGTGAGAATTTGATGCTTTTCTGTCATACATGATAATCAGTGCCGTGCACAGACATCAGCCATTTTGCAGGGCAGGTGCTCAAGTGGGAAAAAAAGGGCATCCCTTCTCCATTTTTTTTTCTTTTTGTGCATGCGATGTGCTGGTTAAAAAAAAGGAGGTTTCATCTGCCAGCATCAACGGGGTTCTTTAGGCCCAAGCACACACATTACATTTGTACACAGTAATGAGCAGCGAAAATGTCTAGCTTACAGCTGCCACACATATACTTTCACTTTCGACATTTATCATTTATTTATAACAGGCAACAACAAAGAAAACAATGCCACATTGTGCATACTTTAGTTGTCTGTGTAATAAATAATCATCACAGTCAACAAATCCCTACACAAAAATGAAAATAGATAAAATCCTATTCGCTGACTAAAAATATTACACCAACCAATTTTCCCTCCAACCTGTGTTCAGTTGCAACAAACAGGCTAAGTGCACTCTGTTCTCCTCTCCTCTCTTTATCCTCCACTCCTTTTCTTTTCTCTCATCTTCTTAATTTGTTCTCCTGCTCTCCTCATTCTCGTTCTCCTTTCTTTTCTAAATAGTCACATGCTAATTCTTAGAATAAGCTTTAAATTTTCTTAGAGTCCCAGAAAACAGATGCATGGAGCACAGCGCTCCTTCTCTCCTCCTCTGTGCCCTCCTCTGACAAACAGCATGTCATTTTTGTTTAAATTAATTAGCAAATACATCACCTGAAATTTACATAGGAATCAGTAGATAAATGTGATAAATAGGCTAATATTAATTTACACATTTGGTGAATTTCATTAGGCATACTTGAATTGTTAGATTTAATAGATGTTCTTATCTATATATATTTTGTCCCTTTGATGCGGGATTTATATAACATGATATTATACTGAAATGCTGAATTTTCTTTGTCAGTTACGCACGTAACCTGTCGGCAGTATTCTGCCACGCCACCTCCTTGGCATAGCTGATTTCAACTCTCGCTGATTTCACTTGATGGAATGGGTTGGTGCTAGACTGGGAGTTGGCGTTTAGTCAAACTTCAAAATTACACCTTAGTCTGGATATTCTTAGCTACATTGATGGAATACCCCCCTGAACTCTGCAAACAAACAAACAAACAAACAAACAAACAACAACTCTGTTTTTATTCACAAACAATCAGTGGTGGAATCTATGTTAGTAAATTTACTGAAGGTCTATATGGATGTACAGTTTTGAGGTACCTTCTCTTGAATTCACTTGAAATTTTTCTGCTACTTCTACTTCTTCACTACACCTTACATAGAAATATTATACTTTTTATTGCACCACATTTATGTCATAACTTAAATTGCTTTACAAATTCAGATAATTAATACAAAATATACCAACTAATAAATGATGATGTATTAGATGAAACTACCCAGCAATGTTAGAAAATAAGCTCCATGTTTACCAGCTGCAACTTTAAAGTGATCAACACATGAATGCATCAATAATTGAATTACAATATATGATTCTGCATAATGAGTACTATACTTTTGGTACTCTACATATATTTTGATGATAATATTTTTTGTACAGAGTATTTGTAAACTGTAGTATTTCTACTCTTACTTAAGTAAAAGAGTATTTTAACATTTTTGGACTGGCTTTTCAAATCCACCGGAACTGTTGACGGTGGCTTCTGTTTCCATCGGACCTTAGACACAGACGGACCAAACAAACTAGCAGCGCTTTTCAAGTTACATACATCGCCTGAAACGAAAGCAGATGAACTCCATAACTCAGCTCAGATTTCACGGTTGAAGTTACTATCACAAGTCAGGATGAAGTTTCGAGGGAAAATCATAGACATCGCCTGTCTCAACCATTTCACCCGTAAGTCACCAGCTTCTTTTACCGGGAGGTAAACGACAAACTGACACTGCTAACCAGGGTTAGCTTCCACCAACAGTCCGCACAAAAACTCACGTTTCTCTGCGATAAAATAACAACAACGTAAATCCACCCTTTACTCCTAGCGGATCCTGATGTGGGCCGAATGGGCGTTTGCCCAGGGCGGCACTTTGTCACGACATGTGGGGGGGCGGCAGGAGCGGCAAGTGCTGGAATTTGTACTTTACGTGACAACGCCTGAACGCAACACAGGCTCCACTGTGTGTTCAGTGTTGTGCTGCGCTGTTGTGTGAGCTGCGTGTTACACACTGTCCATAACAATAACTATGTCAGGTAACAAACTGTGTCGGGGTCGTTTTCGGTCAGGTAAATGCGTCCCGAGCCGCGCTCTTGTGTGTGTGTGTGTGTGTGTGTGTGTGTGTGTGTGTGTGTGTGTGTGTGTGTGTGTGTGTGCGTGCATGCGCGCGCATTGGGGCCGATCTTCGCCGTGCGCGACACAGAGAGCAGAGAAGAATTGTAATCGTAACCATGTAGAGAAAGAAATTACATGCCTTCATGTAAATAAGATAAATAACATAAGAATATTTAGTTTGTTTAATAAAAGAACAAGGAGCACCCGCAGTGTAATCGATTTTTTTTATTGCAACAAAAAATCCACATTATACTGTATACATTACATTGTATTTGTATAGTACCCTTATTATTATTATTATTTTCAGTTGAAGACATTTTTAGAAAAAACACCACTGAACACCACTGTGAATGAAAGAGAAACCTTAGACGATGATAATATTGATGATGATGATGAAAGTCATCGATTATTTGGTCGCTATGCTCTCGTCCAACCAAATTCTCATTAGTCGAATAATCGCAGTGTTACTTTCCTAACGAGAAAAGTGCTACATCAACAGCTTTCCAGGATTAATCCATTATTCGTTGTTTACAGAAAGTTGAACTCGCCCATCCTCACGCTTAGCGTCGCAGACGCAGACCTCCTGTCTGTTTCTGTAAGCTGAAACATTTTAAGTCGTGTGTGTGATTTATCCTTCAGTGATTTATTCACCTTATTTTTCACGGAAACACGGAGGCAAAACAGAACGCAGCCAGCTTCTGTTTTTTTGTGCGACACTTCCGGTTCAGCACTCTTGACCACTGTGTAAATGGGAATCGCCTTGTTGTTTACCTTGTTGAGTTTATA